AGCCTACTTATTTTGACCATATCTATGAGAACCGTCTAATGGCATTTCCAGAGAGTCACAAACAAGCAGAAAGGCTTATGAGTAATATTTTATCAGTCTCTTTGTTCTAAAGCCCATGAACTAACCTCCATCGTCCCTGTCTACAAATTAATCAGACCATATAATTTGTAAATTCAAACCCAGATTAATAACCACACACCTTGAACAGTGGGTTTTCAGCACAGAGTGTATTCCACTTTCATGTCATGTTAACTTTCATATTTAAAGAATTTTGGTAGTTGAGAACGAGATCCAAAGCTTCCTATGAGGTATCAGGATTTTACAGAGGAAATAGTTTTTACTGGAGTAGCACCTTCTTTGACTTTTTAACTTTTTTTCATGATGACCATATTTATGAAGGGACTCTATAATCCTTAGTCACTAATTTATATATGCCATGCTTTCTAGTAAACCTACAGTCCTAAAATGATTCTATGCTTATCCCAAATTTAGGAGCATGATATGGGGGAGAAGCACATTACAACAAAATACGCTAAACAAAAGTAAAATTAAAGATCCTTGCCAAAGCATGAAAGCAACAAACTCATCAACAAACTCATCTTAAAGTAATGCAGTTAGACAAAATCTTTACATCTGTAATAAGGTAAGTATACAGCTCCAGGAGTTAGCAGCCCTAAATGTTTCTAACAACTCACAAGAGATACACAAAATCTATCATTCCCCCCGAATGTACGAAAAAATAAAGGGCAATTTCATAACACCTTTGGTGCTTTCTAACTTAATGACTGGCCTTCAGGAAAAGCAAGTACAATTTTTAAGTGTTTATAAAAAAGCAAAGGAAAATGTTGCAAAAAATTACTTGGCTCGAAGGCCACAGAGAAAGCTGGAATCTGCAGGACTTACCAAACTACACAGCTGTTTTAAAACCGAAAGTCAAACAGCTTTTAACAGGTATTAAGTATTTTATGCAACAAAATTATCAAATATACATACTTCTTTTTATACTGCAAATAGACATTTTATTTTTATTAGGAAAAAACTATAGTTATACAAACAATAACTAGACTGCTGTAATAAGAATAAATATAACTAGTCACATAATACTAATCAACGCTGGCTTTTTAAAAACTTACCAGAGAATTTCAAAATGATTCTGAATGATCAAGTGTGACTCCTATATTTTCTAGATAGGCACTGATGTTAAGAATAAGGCTTTCACAGAAATATAATCCAATTTCTTATTTCCATGGCAACAAATAAAAATGATGACAAAAATCACTAAGAAAGCTTCTTTAAAAAAATTTTTTTAATTAAAAAGCAAAACCTTAGGTAAACCACATTATGGAAAATTAACAAATCTGACAATCCTCCTCCAAAATTGTTTTTCGAAGAAAAATCCTAATGTCATAGAAAAACGTGGATGGCTTATAACTCTTAGAATTCCTTTTAGTTAATGAGAATCTCATTTTCGGAATTTCTTCAAACTTAACTGAAATGTTAATGAAAAAGAAAAATATTTAGATTTGAGAAAAAATTGTTCTAATTATTCCACTTCACTATCTAATTTCAGCCCATAAAAGTTAAATAGCTAGTAAACAACTGGTCTGTTTTGGCAGATTTTTTTTTTCTATTTTAAAATGTATTACTACATAGATGAGATTACTACTAGTTAAAATTCTGAATCCAAATACCATACATGCTGTTGTAAAAACTGTGCAGTTTTAAATACATTTTTCCTTCTATATATTTTTGTATCTTTAGCCAAACTTCTCTAGTAAAGTTTTACTTTATGATGTTTTCTAAAATAAAAACATTTGTATTGAATGTTATAAAAATTAAGAAATGTCTTCTAAAGTTAGGTGCTCCAAAATAAATGACTCAAAAGTTTTAATGAAAGCCCTCTTATAATTAAAGAAGGTGATTGGTAATGAGGAAGAAAATGGAAGGCATATTTACAATAAATCAATAGCAGAGTTGTGATTAATGGGCTCTACAATGATTATTAATGTTCTCCCTATAAAATATTAGTCTCTGCATTAATTTAAAAGTACAGACTGGGTTTTTTCCCTTGATAAATAACAAATAATGAATGTTTTTCCTATTTTAAAGATGAGCATGACTATTTTAAAAACAGAAGACTACCAAGATCTTTCCCTTTCCCCATTTCAAATTTATGAGTTTCCTTTTTGTCTTTTTGAATTCTTGAAATCCAACAACATTGTCATAGCTCTGAGAACCAAGATAATAGAAACCACTAACTGTAGGAGACAGCCTTGATGTTTTTGATTGTATTTTCCTAGAAAGACTTTTATGATATTTAATCTTAATAGCTTTTAGTTTTAAAGAAGTCCTCTAATGCCAATAAGTAGGAATCTAAATCTCAGAAGCTTAGGCAAACTTAGCCCATCAGCATACCCTAAAAACAGGATAATTTAGTAAAACCTAAATAATACATTAGTTTTTAAATAATATGTTGTATGTTTTCGATACATATATATCCTGGTAAGATTAGTAGGTACCAACCTCAAATCTGTACTGCAAATAAACAGCGTGTACATTTTTTAAAAGAAGAAGAGGCTACACTCACTACTGCTCAGTCGCCTCAACATTTGGATGTAGGAGAGAGAAGGAAAGAAAGTCAGGTCCTTCATCAGGGCTGGCGCCCTTCCTATGGCACTACACTTCCTCCTGTCCCGTGGCCACTGCCAAGGTCAGTCAGGATAGGTGGGCTCGTGTTTCTACATAGTCAGATAACTGTGTATCTGGGAGAAGGGAAAAAACAAAAAAATATAAAACTCTCTATTCCCAAATTCTCTGTATCCTTTGAAAGTCACACTTTATTAATGGAAATTAAAATGATAAAGAAAGAAACCACTAGTAACCTAAATGATAGCTTCCCCTTAAAGACACATTTTAACACCAACAAGATTTTCTTCTTTCACTTTCTTCCTTCCTTTCCTCATTTCTCTCTCTCTCTTTCCTTCTTTCTGTCTCCTTCCCTCTCTCTCTTTTTTTCTTTCTAGTCAAGAGTTTGTGAGTTACTAATTATTTTTACTCTGTTTGAATTGGGTCCCTGTTATCTTTTATAATTTTCTGGAATGGAGTAAGATTTCCATTATTTATGAGAATAAAACAGGAGGTTGACACTTTATGCACAAAAACGAATAAGCAAAGGTTGCAATGACATCAGTTTTAGTTTTGATTGAGGGCTGGCGTATTGCGCAGGGGTTGGCGGTGGGAGTGGGGTGAGGCAGGTGTGAGGAATGAGTTTGTTTCTTCCGAGAGGGCTTTGCTTCAGTTAGTGTTGCTGCATTTCTAATGAGGGGGCCCACTCTGCCAGCTCTTCCGGGTAGGCTTCATAACAGAGTGGGTAGGCTCAATTTTCTAGGAAGCCTGACGTTGGCAACTGCACCTCATGGAAGAATTCCACAAAAGGTTAAATTAGGGTGAGATTGTCAACAGGCTTCAAAAAGGCAGAGTTCCAGGGCCCATGCCTGAGGTCTCATGGGCCTCCTTCAGGTCCTCATCCCCACAGTCTGAAACGTTTGGCCCTTCTCTTCTCCAGCTCCCCACCCCGTTCTTCGGCCAGCCCTTCCTTTTTCCTCTAACCCTGCAAAAAATGAGCAGCACTGTTGTTTTGTTCCAACTGACAAAACAGCTAAGAAACAGCAGAACATGACTGCCCTTTGCAAAACAGGCATGTGATCCTCCTAGCTCAAGTCAACGCTTACAGTAAAAACGAATAGAGAGGGAGCTGTTTACGAAACTCTATTTGCCTTTGGAATACTCTCATCTCCGCCCTTCTCGGCCTCCTAAATACCCAAACAAATTTATATAATGAGCTTTATTTTATCACCCTGAAATTCCTCCTCAGTCCAAATTGCCAATGTGGCAGGTTCCAGCTGCCCAAATTCCCTAAACAACATTCCCTGTTTCATAAAAAGCATGCAATTGCTAGCACAACAGTCCTGCTCTGGTTCTCAGAGCTATAAACTGACTATCCAGCTCCCTGGCCCGGGAAGGCTGTGAAGCAGGCAACATGGACAATTTAAAGGAGTACAGTATCCAAGGTGCCATTTCACTCCCGGGCAGCCCGGAGTGGACAAGGTAAGGCCACCCTCCATTTTTCTTCTGGCTACTATATTGATTCTCTGGAAGCTACCTCTGCTCCAAAAGAAACCACCCCATCCCATTGAGAAAAGGTGACACTTAATTTGCACTGCTTTTTATGATGGCATTTGTTTGACTAAGAGGGGGCAGAGGTTCCATGCAACAGACTGCTTTAGCTGGTGACTTGACAATAACATATACCAGATTAACACATACCAGATTAGTTCCCTAGATGCAGATTAGTAAAGTACAAAGCTTGAATCCTTTCTTTTAAATTAATTAATGTAAGCTCAATGCTTATTTAATAGGCACTGACTTTTATCTGGCACATACAGTATATGACTCTGCCTTTAGCAAAAATACCATTCAAGCTATCTTCAGCAGATTTGAATGCTTTATTTTTATTTTGGGGACGCCAAAGAGAGTCCATAACCTACCTTGGGATTGTCCGATCTCAAAAAAGCCTTCGTACTTGCAACATAGCAATATCTAAGTTCTTGGACATCCCTGCACAAAATATATGGGTCCACATCTCCCCGTTTTTCCATGTACTATTTCCTCTACAACCCTGTTCACACAGCAAGCTCTAATTTATTCTTCATTAGGCAGCATATGCTACCTTCCCTCAACTGCCCCAGACCAGTAGTCATCATTGCCTGCTCTGCCCCTTGCACATGTATCTATGTGGTCTCGCCAGACAGTATCATGTTTGCTCCTATGTCTGTGTTCCCTAGTCAAGTTAAAGTTCCTTGAGCAACTAATTGTTTTTGTATCTCCAGTGCCTTGCGAATTTTGTATCACATAATAAGTGCTATAAAAGAGAACTAAACTGATGTGGCTATAAAATGACTTAGAGCTTTTAACTGTAATGGGCCTAGTACAAGACTCACATAAATCCAGGTGGTTGATCGAACGTCTCATGCTGTCATCTGAAATCATTTGCTCTTGCTCTACATTCAGAGGAGAAAGAAAAATGGGTGACACTTCTCTGGTCTCTATATCATAATTAGACCAGGGGTAGGAGCTGAGAGACTAGAAAATATTTAGCCTATCCCTAGCTGCATCCTAAGGGACATCAACGTGGAGCTCAAGGAACTCAGTGTATTTACCAACACACCCTATATCCACCCGTTATAACTACTTGAACCAGCATGGATAGGAATAGAAGACAGATTTTATTGTAGAGAACAGAATAAATCTAATAAAAGAAATAACTAGAGGAAAAGTTGGGGCTAGTTGATGTTTTTAAATAGAGATGGAAAAACATAAATGATGGTGGCCAGCACAGACAGTTTTGAATGTAAAGACTTTAGAAATCAATGTGGTCACTCTTTTCTAGTAATAGGCTCACCATGGACAAGAATAATAGGAACATTATTCCCCAGTTCCTTTGCAATGTACTGTACTGCTATTTAAGCATCCCAGCATCATGCTTGCTTTGATAAATACAAGTCAAAGTTCAACTGCCACAATTCTGCTTTGAGTCTCTCTCTTTTTTAATGATTTATGTCATGCTCCTCAAAAGTCTTTCTAAAATTATACCAAAGGGAAAGTTTAGGCAAAAAAGGGGAGCTTAAATGTTCTAGGGAGCTGTCAGATGTCCCTGGTGCCTGCTATGCACTTTTTTTTTGAGACAGTCTCCCTCCATCACCCCGGCTGGAGTCCAGTGGTGTAATCTCAGCTCACTGCAAACTCTGCCTCCCGGGTTCAAGGGATCCTCCTACCTCAGCCTCCCAGTAGACGGAAATACAGGCGTGAGCCACCACACCCGGCTTGCTGTGCACTTTATGTACACCATCTATATGTATCCCACCCTCCCAACAACTCCACCTGATAAAAATAATTATTCTCATTTTAAATACAGTTTTAACCTAGGTCTCTCTGGTTTTAGACCTAGTATTTTTTCTATAAATAATACTGTTCCAATTTCTTTTCTTTTTTTTTTTCTTTCCTTTTTGTAGAGATGGGGTCTCACTTTGTCACTCAGGTTGGTCTCAAACTCTTGGCTTCAGGCGATCTTCCCGCCTTGGTCTCCCAGAGGGCTGGGATTACAGGCATGAGCTACTGTACTCAACTGTTTCTGTTTCTACTATCAGCATGAAGAACACAAGAACTCAGCTTCAAAGGTAAGAGGTGTATCATTCATTCATTCATTCAACATTCATTCCATAGCTACTATGAACTAGGCACTACAGTCTCTTTGAAAATATAAACATAAATAAGTTCTGGTACTTGACTTTAACTTGCTCACAATCTAGTGGAAAAGAGACATAAAAACAAACAATTTGGTGTATTCTATTTTCCCTAGGCTCTGTATTTGGGTCCCCACCCCTTGTCACTTTTTGCTGCCACTTTACAAACTTTCCATATCTTAACACTTTCTCTTTATTTAAACATTAGTAAAGCACAAGAAACCTGCAGCATTTCGTAAGCTGCCTACACTGCTAAAGTCGCATCCAAGAGGGAAGTGAGATGGAATTAACCATAGCATTTGAACTCACTTGTGCTGCTCTGGGTTTCCATGCTGCCAGGGTGTTCATTCATTCATTTATTTGCATATTTTGGAGGGCCTACAGGAGGCCCAGTGCTAGCCAGGGAAACAGTGGTGAAAAAGACATAATAGTGTTCTGCCCCATGGAGCTTACCCTCTAACCTTTTCAGGAGGAGAGGCAGGCAGTCAACAAAATCCTGGATTGTGATAGGTGAGCCATGAAGGAAAACCACAGGGTGCCATGAGAAAGCACAATGGTACAGGGACCTGACCTTGGCAGGGGGACGAGGAAGGCCTTTTCCTAAGAAGTGGCATGAAAGCTGAGATCTGTGAGTTGAGTGGGATTAGCTTGGTGAAGATAGATAGGGCGAGGAGGAACAAGAAGGGAACAGAGGAGGATTTCAAGCTGAGGGAACAGTACATGAAAAGGACTGAAGCTGAGGTCAGGAAAGAAGGCTGGCATTTGCAGAAGACAGGCAATACAAGGGACAGGGTCTGGAGACAGAGCTGGGAAGGGAAGGAAGCACTGGCCCCATGATGCAGTGACGTTCTGGATTTCAAATCTCATTCTAAGAGCAGAGGGAACACATTGAAAGGTTAAAGCAGCTGAGTTGAGTGCATTTAATGTTCTTTAAAATTCCCTTGGCTACCTGTGATTAAAGTATTAAGAAAAACAGCGTGAAAACGTGTTTCATTGATTAAAAACTTGTTTAGAATACAAAAAGTGTTACAGATAAAAGCGTTCTAAATTTAAAAAATAATGGGTTTTATTCATAGCACTATTATCCTGAGTAGGTCATTTAATCTCAAAATATTTTTGTTCCCTCATCTAGCAAATGAAAGTACTAAAAAATTCAAAATTCATATACTTGTTTTAAAAAGCAAATGAAATAACACATTTGAAAATGCATTGAATCTCTAAAATGTAAGCTTCTTGAGGGAAGGGATTTTGACTATTTTGTTCACTACTATACCTAGGACCTAGAAGATGGAAGGATGAATAGATGGATGGGATGGATGGACAGATGGATGGACTGACGAATAGATAGATGGCTGGATAAAAGAAAGTGAGGGAGGAAGAGAGGAAGGGAAAAAAGAAAGGAAAAAGAAAAACAAAAGGGAAGGAGAGAGGAAGGGGAAAAATAAATGAACAGGCTAGGCAGGTAGCTCATGCCTGTAATCCCAGCACGTTAGGAGGCTGAGGCAGACAGATAGCCTGAGCCCAGGAGTTTGAGACCAGCCTTGGGCAACATGGTGAAACCCTATCTCTACAAAAATATAAAAAATTAGCAGGGTGTGGTTATGCATGCCTGTAGTCACAGCTTCTCAGGAGGCTGCGGTGCAGTATAGGATGAGCCTGGGAGGTTGAGGCTGCAGTGGGCCTTGATCACCACTGCATTCTAGCCTGGGTGACAGAGTGAGACCTTGTCTCAAAAAAAAAAAAGGATGAATGAACGGATGAATGAATCACATCAAGCACCATACTGCGCAAATACGAAGCAAGACATACAGCATGTGGCAGTCCACCTGGGCGGGCAACCTCCCCAGGAACTCGATGTCACAGCATCACCAATGTCTGCCAAGCAGCCAGGCCTTCCTTCAGTGCTGGCACACTGGGCACCTCCAGCAGCTATTCCAGATGGCTGGGTGATGGGGGCAAACACGGCATCAGAAGCCCATGACATCACCTCTTCGGTGTGGCTGGTGAGAAGGGATTGAGAAATGAAACACTGACTTTTCCTGCTGCTGCTTCCGCATACACTCATCTCTGACAAGCACCCCAAAGCCAGGCCCTAAGTACACATCATTCTCTACTCATATAATCCCTACCTACAGACTCTTATTCTGTGTTTACCAAATGTAGTATTATAATACATTTTTATATAACTTATTAAAATTTTTCTTATATTGCACAGTGTTAGCTATGTGTACCCAATTTCTTAAAGAATTACAATTAAAGATAAAGAGAAGAGGAAAAATATTAAAAAGCTTAAGATGTTCTTTGATATTAGCTTTATAACAATAATGATAGTAACCATTCACTGAATACTGACTTTCCTGCAGGCATAGAGTTTGACACTTAGCCTATATCACTTCAAATCCTTACGACCTCCAACAAGGTCAGCATTCTGACTCCATTTCTTAGGGAAGAAAATTGAGGCACAGAGCAGAATGATTCGCCTAAAGTTAGGAGGCTGTTAAGGGCAGCACGATTTCATGCTGTTTTTCTTAATACTTCAAATCTGGGTCTATCAGACAACACAGTGTGCATTCTTTCCATTACTATATATTATTATGAAAATCTTCTCAAAAATTGGACTACTTGTGATTAAAAAAAAGCAACCACTCTTTAAAAAAGAGAAGAGGAAAAATATTAAAAGCCTTAAAATGTTCTTGGAACATTTAATATGTGCCAGGTACTGTTACGCTCTTTACAAAAAATTATTTCCTTTAATCCTCTCAACAACTCTGTCAGGTCTGTTCTTTTGAAATGAAGAAACTAAATCTTAGAGAGACTGCAGTGACTTGCCAAATCTCAAAAAACAACTAAGTGGGAGAGCCTGGATTTTAACCCAGGTCTGTCTGACTCTAAAATGCACCCTCTTAACTGGTACACAAGAGTTCCACTATTCAAATACCATTGGTATAATTTGTATGCCTCAAAAGAGAATGTCAAAACAGAAGAACAGGGTCAATAAACCATTTTAAATATAATTCAAAATAACTACTGCATTAAAACACCATCTCTAAAAGCCCATTACCAACTATTTTCTGTGAGATTGTCACCTTGTTCTGCTGTCCCAAATGACCTTTAGAATGATCTACAACCAGGGTTTTCAATACAAGTGTTTTCCTTTTTCACTTGGTAAGTAATTTAAAAATCTGTTTCTAAAACTACCAGTTCAATCAAATGGAACTCATAACTCTGCATCCAAATCTTTAGAGATGCTATGAAAATGTACACTAAAGTTACTTAGTCCACAATGCTTATTAAATTATGTTCTTTGATGGTCAGGATAATGTTCAAAGTCACTGGGCAAATTGCTCATGTCATATAAAATATTAGGCTTCACTGTTTCACAATATATTTTGAAGATTATCTCAAGCATTTTAAGATACACCCAACATGATTGTCTCCCTATTAGAAATAATTCTTTTCTAAACCATGAGAATCCTCAGGTAGGTCTCCTGAGCTATATTTGTTAAGCTATACAGCTGTATCTGTTAAGCAAATTTACAGCAATATTTGTTAAGCCAACTTTTTAAAACTTCATTTGTAATTAAGAAGGTGTTTCCCTTCTTGATCTACTGATTGGGCAGAGGACTTCCTTGTATCTACGGAGCAGAATACTCACATAACTTTCACACTGACTGGATATGCAAACCAAGTAGCTGGCAAACTACTACTTTAAACACAGTCAGTGAAATAGAAGTCTGGCAATTCTTGGAGTAACGTGG